TCTGCTGTATTCTCTGATTAAAAGAGGTAAAATCAGCCATCATTCCCACTCTTGCAAGTTGTCAAATGGTTGAAGGTGTGTCTTTGTGGACATTCAGAAAGCACAGGTTTTGACTTGGTGTTACTGGTCACTGTCATTAATGAATCTGCTGGCTCACGTGTGAATCACTGGATGGGGTACTCAGAATGTAACAAATTACTGTCTTATCTCAGGGAATGATTTTTATTACACTGTCAGTTTCTCTGACCTTACTACAAATTCTTCAGCCAATACACAGGTGGAATCATAATTCTTTTCCTTGTTCCCCATGGGGAATGCTAAACTGAAATTTTTGGACTGCAGAATATCATAATTTCCTTCCTATCTGGGAACCGGAGCAGGAAGGAAAAATGCCTTTGATTGCAACAGATGAATGAAACCAGTCACCTCTGTGACATCAGGAAAAGACTGAGAAATACAGATTATGTAGCGCCAACCTCTCGCACTAACTGGGCCCTGAAAATGAATTGATTGAAATTTGTCCTCCACTCATACTTAAATTAGACTGGTGAGCAATGGATGTCTACTTTATGACCACACACAAACACATGGACACACACACGCAGACACACAAACACATGGACACCCACACACACACACACACACACACACACATAGAGACACGCAGCCACACAAGCTCAGACACATGCACACACACACACATACACACACACAGCTGCAACACAGCCAGAAGCCCTCAAACAAGTGGTGGGATGGGGTGTGGAGGGGTGCATAGTGGCATTGAAGCAAACTAAGTAAGGCCAGTGTGTGGGAACAATTGTGATATCTGTCATATTTTGGGAGCTCTCCTGCTCCTCCAAAAGGGTTCATTTGAACTTTTAAAAATTTCCTTTTCTTAGTGCCCATGGATTCGCTAAATAATCCTGACCTCATCACTAACTTATTTCAAGAGGGAACAGACAATGATGATTAAGTCTGTAGGATCTGTTGCTGAACAGATTGGTCACAGACCATCCCAAATCAGTTTCCACCTCTTGTCCCCCAGATGAAACAAGTTTTGGGACAATCCCCATCTAATATGCTGAACATAACAAAGGATTAATATTCAATTAAGTGCTAACAGCTGAAATCTGAAAATGTGCCTTACAAATGGTTTTTATAATTAGAAATAAAGTTGAAAAGACAGGGCCCAGAGTGAGTTCACAGTTAAGGTTGAATAGGGGTAAAGAGTAAGACAAAATGAGGTCAGGCAGGAGAGGACAATTAGTTGACATTATGCTTTGTTTTTAAAAAACTTACAAAAGGAGCTGGGGGAGAAGAGAATTTCCACTTGAGGTTCTGGAAAAGTTTCAGTTTTTATGAACTTATCCCTCTTTGTGTGCTACATGTCATTTTAAAGTGTTTCTACATTTTACATCTTATGTAAGTTAGGTTGTCAATGCGTGCTCCTATGACCTGCTGTCAGTATTTAGGTAACTAAAACTAGTTCCTTTGACTGACAGCAGAACCACAGCCCTGTGAAACACTGTACAACGTGTTTAATAACACAGGTCTGCTTTATAAAATGTGATCTATTATTGCAGAGGTTCAGTCCAACAGGTACATTCTGAAAGAAACCTAAATAATTTTAGTGAGCAGGATGGTGGGTCAGTCATCAGCACTGCTGCCTCACAGTGCCAGGGACCTGGGTTCGAATCCGACCTCGGGCGACTGGAGTTTACACATTCTCCCTGTGTCTGTGTGGGTTTCCTCTGGGTTCTCCAGTTTTCTCCCACTATGCAAAGATGTGCAAGTTAGGTGGATTGGCCATGCTAAATTGCCCATAGTGTCTAGGGATATGCAGACTAGGTGATTAGCCATTGGATGTGCAGGGTCATAGGGATAAGGTAGGGGATGGGATGCTCTTCAGAGGGTCAGTGTAGACTCGATGGGCTGAATGGCCTGCTTTCACATTGCAGGGATTCTATGAACTTGCATTCTCTCAGACATTGGAACTGCATATGACCCATTTAAGTGGGAATATCCAGAGGGACAAGAGCACGTTATTCAGTCTCTTCAACCTGTTCCACCATTCAGTAAAATCATATCTGATCTGTCACTTAACTCCATTTACCTGTCTTTGATGGGTATCGCTTACCTACTGATATTCTGTCAACTGCAGTCTTGACAAATTCAATTGACCCACATCCACAGTCTTCCGGGGGACAGAATCTCACATATCCCATAGTCTTTGAGTGAATAAGCATTTGTGATTTCATTCCCAAAGGGCCTAGCTCTAATTTTGTCTCCTTTTGTTCTTGTTCCCACACTACAGACAAAAGCTATTTTTTAATTGACCATTTCAAATCCTTTTATCATTTTAAACACCTCAAACAAATTACGTCCCAACCTTCTAAACAGTATATAACAACCCAAGTTTATGCAAGCCGTCTTCATAATTTAAGCCTTTAAGTCCTAGTTTCATTCTGGTGAAGCTGCTGTGTCTCGTTCATATATGCTGTTGTGTTGTGGCATCCACAACGCAGCGCAGTACTGATGTCTGACCAAGTGAAGGTGAACTTCACCCCCACCCCTCAACCCCACTGGGATAATGCCCAACCTCCCATTAGCCTTTTTGAATGCTATTTGTACCTGTACAATAATTTGTGGGTCTGTGTACATGGGCACCTGAATTCCTTTGCTCCTCCAATTGAATGGGTGCCTTGTGCATCAGCATGAAATGGCACTTGATACTTGTTATTCACTGCAGTTAATGGAGCTAAATATTATCCAAGAAGCTTAAATGTGGGGGACAAAACCAGAAAATGCTGGGAAAACCCAGCAGGTCTGGAAACATCTATGAAGAGAAGGCAAAGTTAACATTTCAGATCCTTCTTCAGAAATGTGGAGGAATCGGGGGCAAAATCATTACAGCCTGTATTCTTCTACTGCCTGCATTAATTTGCACCCCGTTTAGTTTCTCACCACTACGAAAATATTTCAATTTTTCTTTCTTGGACCCATAATGGATGGCCTCATGCTTCCCCATGTTAACTCATATGCACCATTTTTCTTAATCAGTCAAAACATCAGTTGTCACATTGTCAAAGTACTTCTCCTCCCTATTTCCCAATCAGTTATCAAGTCAATACAAGTTTACCTCCAATTCCATGCAGTCTCAGTTTTTCACACAATCTCCTGTGATGAAACATCTTTTCAAAGTCCATTTAGACAACATAAATAGTCACACCCTATCTTGTTGGTGACCCCCTCATTATATTGTGCTCTAATTCATCATCTCTCTCCCTCTCTCTCTTTCTCTCTCTCTCTCCCATTCTTTCAGATTCCATATGCAGCAAGCCTGATGAGGAAAGAGAGACTCAGCACACAGATGAACAAAAGCTAAACAGTTCATGAACAGGACTGAAGCTTTGGGTTAGTACATGTAGCTAATTTCATCTTGTGAATGCATCACAAGAGGGAAATTAATTAGGTTTGAAAGGAACATTTCACAATGAACATTTGGAGGGAGCACTGGGAGAGAGAGAAGGGATAGATCGAGAAGATTTTCATCCTGATGTTGAAAATGCTCAGCACTGTGCACCAACCTATACCTGTGAGTACAAATCTGTCATGGCCTGTTTATAGATGTGTAACCGATGGAGTGCTACCAAAGCATGCTGAGAAAAGAAGGTTTAATGTTGTCCCAAAAAATGGACCCTGCTTTTAATTTAGCAATTGCAGCAAGTAGCCGCCTGTGTTTGCCCATGTGATCTAATCAAATTTGGGTCATTGTCTCTTCAGTGGGATCCCTGGCATAGGTCCTGGAAATGGGTTGGGGTGGGAGAAGAACTGGAGAGAGGTTGTGATCACAGGCAGATGGTTGGTCTCAGGATGTGAGGTAAGCATATCTGTGTACTTTATGGTGCTGGTTGCTTGGACGTATTAATTCCAACAAAACCCAAGTTCAGCAGGCTCACCAGCCTTCTTTATAACAGGTTCTGTTTAAATGTGCTTAACGTAGCCTCTTCTTCACATTTGCCTCTCCATAAACTTAATATCATCCAAAACTATGATCGTTGTAAGGTATGATCCACCTGTACTGCACGCAAACAAAACTCTTCACTGTACCTAGGTACATGTGACAATGATAAATCAAATCAAATCAAAAAACTCTGCTACCCTTGTCCTGACTTGCACTAAGTTCCATTCGTCCATTTCCCCCAGTAATCATTCATTTTCCTGGCTCACTTAAACATCAGTTTTAACATTTGTATGTTTGTGTGCAAATTTCTTCTAGCATCTACCTCTGTAGCTTATCCAATCCTATAACCGTGCAAGAACTCCCATTCACCCTGTCTTCTTTTGATCTACAAATAGTGGACAGACCTTCAATCATCAGTGCTGTAAACTTCTCAAAGTTGTCCCTAAATATCAGGCCCATTCCACCCCTCTCTAAACAATCCTTTAAAAGCTGTGCCTTTGACAGACATTTAAGTAACCTACCTTAGGGTCTCCTTCTTCAGCTCAGTGTAAATGTTTTAATTAATCAAGGTCCTGTGAAAGTACCTTGCCCTCTGAACATTGTGAACTGTTCACATGTAGAAATTTTTAAAAATTCATTCACGGGATGCGGGCATCGCTGGCTAGGCCAGCATTTATTGCCCATCCCTAAGAGTCAACCACATTGTTGTGGGTCTGGAGTCACAAGTAGATCAGACCAGGTAAGGATGGCAGTTTCCTTCCCTAAAGGACATTAGTGAACCAAATGGGTGTTTCTGACGATTGACAATAGATTTGTGGTCATCATTAGACTCTTTAATTCCAGATATTCATTGATTTCAAATTCCACCATCTGCCATGGCAGGGTTCAAACCCAGGTCCCCAGATCGTTACCTGGGTCTCTGAGTTAACAGTCCAGTGGTAATATCACTAGGCCATTGCCTCCTCCTCAAAATATGAATATAAGTGCCTTCTTTGAGCCATGGGTTTATATTGACTGGGTTTTCTTCATTACACAGAAGCATATGATGAAGTGCACGTCATTTGTAAGATACAAGCACAGAGCAAAGCTCCACATGCAAGCCTCAAGCATCATAAGAAAGATCAAGCGAAGGACTAAAGGACCAAGCACAATGCGAAACCCTGGAAATTCAAACTCAACAAAAGTTAATACATAAATCAGTGATTTCCTAAGAGACATTAACATGACTTCAAACTTTATTAGTAGCATAAAGAATCACTATTAACTGGCTTCTTAAGTTGGTGGTGCTTCCATTTAGATATTTTTGAGACATAAGGAAGGCTGGTGAGCCCACTCTAAGAAGATTGGTGTGTCCATTTTAAAGGTACTAGTGATCTTACCTTAAGAAGACTGTTGAGAACATTTTTTGGATGATTACTAAAACCATTCCTAAGAAGATTGGTGAGCCCACTTCAAGGGGGATTAGTGTATCCACTTTAAGGAGGTTAGTAAGCCAATGTAAATTCTGTGAACACTATGGATTGATGAACAACAATGTACGTGAATGTGTGTGTACGCGCATGCACATGTGTGTGGACTTCAAGAAGACCATCAGTTGTCTCATTGAATGATTATCTGGAAGAAATACTACAAACTCAGTTCTTGATTAGTGGACTGGAATTGCATTAAGCTCAAGAGGAGGGAAGACAGCAGACCGTGGACAGGAAATTACACCACTACTCTAATCCTTCTCTAGCTTTTGCCTGCTTAATTTATTAATGGTTAAATAAGAGTATCCTCTATCACTTGAAATATTTTGGCTTTAAATATTGGGTGTATTTAATATTACTGTTATTATTAAAATGTATTTAAATCCTCTTTGTGCAAATCCCTAATTAATTAGGTGTGTAAATAAAACCTGTCATATATCAATTACTGCAATGAAGGTAAATGGATTGTCTTGGGATACCGGACTAAGATATAAAAGTATATCTTTGCTTGAGTGGAAACAAAAATATACAAAGACATACTCAAGGAAATTCCCCAATCCTACACTTGCAGCTCAGAAAATACTGGTTTCCCAATTCAGATCTTGTTAATCACACTTCTTCACTGATGCTGAATGTCAAGCACACTGAATTTATCTTCTGTAAATATATTATTTGTCTATTTTAATCACCTTCTCAATGAAAGTACATGGCTCCTCTTGGTCCACTGGTTCCTATGGATCCAGTACTGCACCCATGTGGCTATTCATTATCTATCAGTTGGTTGAATATGGATAAGTAAATCCTCACCTGACGTTTGCACCAGGAAATTTCTGCCACAGCTACTGCATGCTGCTGAATTAAATAAGATTCTATGCTGTGCATTCACAGTCAACATTCGAGCAATTCTAGGAAGCTCTTGTGGTGCAGTAATTGTTTTTTTGACCCCTCAGGCCCAGAAAGTACAGGTTCCAGTCCCATCTGCTCCAGAGAGTGTCATAGCATATCTGAACAGGTTGATTAAAAATATTACCAGCACTTCCAGATCAGCTCTGCCATCATTTTTTCTCACTAGATTCATACCTCCACAGCTTCATAGAATCCCTACAGTGTGAAAGCAGGCAATTCGGCCATCGAGTTACACCAACCCGCTGAAGAGTATTCAATTCCAGACCCATCCCATCCCCGTAACCCTGCATTTCCCATGGCTAATCCATCCAGCCTGCACATCCTTGGACACAATGGGCAATTTAGCGTGGCCAACCCACCAAACCTGCACATCTTTGTACTGTGGTAGAAAAACCACAGCACCCAAAGGAAACCCACACAGACACGAGGAGAAAATGCAAACTGCACACAGACAGTCACCCGAGGTTGGAATCGATTCCAGGTCCCTAGCACTGAGAGACAGCAGTGCTAACCACTGAGTCACTGTGCTGCCTCTGCAATCCATCTGCAGTCCAGCTGCAATCCATCTGAACCTGTCTTCCTTAAACTTGGCCATTTTGTCTGGCATCTCCTTCTATGACTATAGTCATAATATTTCCTGTTAATGACTTATTCCATTGTTATTTACTGTTGGCTAATTTGTGAGTGAAACCTGAGGAAAAGTATGTTTTCATAGTCCTGCCATTTCATATCATTTTGTTTGAGTTTATTTCCATTATACCTATTTTAATTCTTACAGAATTGAGAAATTCCAAGAGGCAAAAAACATTAGTGGGAGTGGTATATAGATCACCAATCTGTAATGGCAATATTGGGAATGGCATTAAACAGGAAATCAGAGATGCATGTAGTAAAGGAACATCTGTAATTATTGGTGATTTTAATCAGCATATCAAATCAACTTAGTCACAATACTGTCGAGGATCAATACATTGAGGAACCAACTAGAGAACAGGCGGCCTTAGACTGTGTATTGTGCAATGAGAAAGGCATAATTGGTAATATAGTTGTGAGAGACCTCTTGAGGATAAACAACCATAATATGGTAGAAGTCTTCACCAAGATGGAAACTGAGGTAGTTAATTCTGGCACTAGGCTCCCGACTCCTAATCAGGGAAACTATGATGACTTGATTCCAACTTCGGGCAACTGTCTGTGTGGAGTCTGCATATTCTCCCCGTGTCTGCGTGGGTTTCCTCTGGGTGCTCTGGTTTCGTCCCAAAGTTCAAAGATGAGCAGGTTAGGTGCATTGGCCATGCTAAATTGTCCATAATTTCCAGGGATGTGCAGGCTAGGTGGATTAGCCATGGGAAATGCAGGGTCACGGGGATGGGGTGGGTCTGGATGGGATGCTCTTCAGAGGGTTGGTGTGGACTCGATGGGCCGAATGGCCTGCTTCCTCACTGTAGGGATTCTATGAACATGTGGAGGTATGAATCTAGTAAGAAAACAGCACAGGCACAAATACCCATAATTATTAATCCTGAATTGTCAACTTGATGAAATCTGAATTGATTGTTTGGGCACTGTAGGCTTGAGTTGGCTATGATGGATTGAGAAATGTTACTAAGAGGAATGACAGTGGATAGGCAGTGGCAAACATTCAAAGAGTGAATGGGCAAACCACAAATATTGTTTATTCCTGTCAGATGCAAGAGTGCAAATAAAACAGTGACCAAACCATGGCTTACAAGGGAAGTTAGAGATAATATTAGATGCAAAAAAGAGGCATACATATTGAAAAGAAAAAGGCAGCAGACCTCAGGATTGATAACAGTTTAGAAGCCAACAAAGGAGGACTAAGAGATTGATTAAGAAGGGGAAAGTAGAGAATGAGACTAAGATTGCTGGGAACATAAGAACCGACTGTAAATGTTTCTTTAGGTTTGGTAAGAGAAAAAGATTGGTGAAAACTAATGCAGATCCCAAACAGTCAGAAACAGGGGAATTTATAATGGAGAACAAACAAATGGCTGACGAACTAAATTCATATTTTGCTTTTGTCTTCACAAAGAGGACATGAATAACTTACCATATTAGATGGAGAACACAGCGTTTAGTGAGAGGGAGGAACTGAAGCAAATCTATATTAGAAGAGAAATGGTATTGGATAAGGGATTAGGACTGAGATGAGATGGAATTTCTTCACCCAGAGAGTAGTGAGTGTGTGCAGTTCACTACCGCAGAAAGTGGTTGAGGCCAAAACATTATATGTTTTCAAGAAGGAGTTAGATACAGCTCTTGTGGCTAAAGGAATCAAGGGATTTGAGAGGAGGGCAGGATTAGGATATTGAACTGAATGGTCCGCCATAATCATATTGAATGGTGGATGGAGCAGACTGGAGAGGTTGAATGGCCTACTCCTGCTCTGTCTTCTTTATTTCCATGTTTCTACTACAGAATTAGAGAATATTTACAGTACAGAAGGAGGTTATTTGACCCAACGAGTCCATGCTAGAGCCACTGTCCAATTCCTAATTTTCAAAATGGCAGCGGAGTAGCAGCACTGAGTTGAAGCTCCCGTTCCACTTCTGTCTGCTTGCTTTGTTTCCTTTTGTTTGCTTTTACTTTCGCTCTTTTGCTTTCTTTCTTTTCTTTCTTTTTCTCTTTGAAAGCCTTTTTGGTGTCTTTGGCAGCGAGAGAATGGACCCAGCCTCCCAGGCATGTGCGGCAGTGATGGAAAAGGTCAGCTCCTTGGGGAGAGCGAGCCCTCAGGGAGCTCGTGATGGCAGTGAGTCTAGGCCCAGTGGCGAGAGATGGCACTGGAGCATTGCAACTTTGACGTTGGCAGACCCACCCGTGCAGGACTCAAGGCGGTGGTGGCGTCACCGGCTTTCAAGATGGCGGTGACCGCAGGCCGGCCTGTGTGGTCCTGTGGAGAAGGCGGTATCTGTGGTTGGTGTTGAAGTTGGGATGTTGGGCTTCAGCTGCAGTGATGTGATAGGCTGGGATCAGTATTCCTGGTGGATGGATGGGAGCAGTGGTTGCATCGGCAGCAACGTGGTAGTCCCGGAGCGGGAATGGACTGCGATGCAGGGTTGTTGGTGGGTTTGGATCCCATTGTGGAGACTTCACCTCTATGTCAAGAGGAGCCCAAATATGGAGGAAGAACTCTGATTTTAATTATATTCTAGTTATATCTTAATATCCTCTGAAACTCAAAATGGTGTCGGAGCTTGGCAACATAGTCCACTTTTCACTGTATTTAATTGTTAAATACAAGTAACAATAAATCATTCAATTCAATTCCATTCAATCAATTTCTCTGTAGCCTACAATCATTTTACCTCCATGTACTTAACCAAGTAAATTTGAAAGCCTCAATTGAACTTACTTCACCATCCTTTCAGGTGATGCACTTCCAAATCATCATCACTTGCTGCTTTAAAAGAGATTTCCTTTTGTCATCTTTACTAGTTTTGCCACCCTAAATCCATGTCATCTGGCCCTTGACCATTCCAGTAAAGAGAACAGTTTCTCACTATCTACACTATCTAGAAACCTTGTAATTGTGAACACATCTATCAGATCTCTTCTCAACCCTCTCTACTCTAAGGAGAACAACCCCAGCTTCTCCAATTCATCTACATAACTGAAGTCCAATATCCCCAGACATATTCTAGTAAACCTTTTCTGCATCCTTTCTCAGGCCTTCACATCCATCCTAAAGTGTGAAGCCCAGTATTCGTACAATACTTCAATTGTGACTGCATTCTTTGTAATATGCTTGGTTTTGTACTGTACAGGATGTGGGAGATGGATTGGGGGTGCACCAACTGGAGGAGTCCCAGAGAGTAATGTCAGGTCAAAACCTTGATGTGACACTGCCCTCTTCTGGCTTTCCCTGGCAACATTTAAGGCAGGAGCGGAACTCCTTGGATCTTTCAGGTAAGAAATTAAAAGGTTGTCATGATATCTTATTGCATATGATTCCAATGTGCTCATAAATATTTATCTAACAGCTTGTGACAGCCAATCGTAAGGTCTTTAATCCCTGAATTCTGGAGTTTTCCAGCCTGTTTCCTGACTATGAATAACATACATAAGTTCACAGTGGGAAGTGCTGCTTCAGTGAAACTGACAAACCGGGAAGGCTTTGATCAATTACAGTGAAGATCTAAAGCCATCGCCTTGGAGAGGCTGTCGTTCAAAGCTGCTGTTTGATCAAAAAGTGCTATCCCTGCTTGACAGGTGGCTGCCAGCATCGTTGAAACCATTTCACACGTCTAGTATTTCATACACTGTTGGCTGTGCCTTTCCCTGTTGCCAGCCTTCACCACAGCATGGGAGCAACTTTCGTCTCTACTCAGGGGCAAGAGGAGGAGCCACAAGTCACAACATCAGCATCAGAAGTAGG